CAAGCGCCTGCCCGCCTGGTTACAGATGGCACCTCTTTCCTGTGTAAACACAGGGTCCATTCCCAGGACCCCTGGGCAGCGCCATATGGGGCTTATCACTGCTCTTTAACCTCCTCATCACCCCTGACCCTGTTCTCATGTCAGCCGTCAAGAGGAGAAAGGGAGATTCAAATAGTAAAATGCAAATGGTACCAATGGATGGTTCTCTGCAGAGGGGAAATTCCATTCTCTAGACGTGGCCTCCTTCAGGCAACTTGACTGAGGGGGATTACTTGACATCTTGCCTTTGACCACATTTCTATATGCCACCACCTCTCTATGCCAGAAGAGTATCTGGCTGGCATAGAAATGTGATCAAAGGCAAGAAGGCAATCCCCAGCCAAGTCTACACATAAGGGCTATTTCAGACTTCTGTTTGTGCTGCAATTTCTAGGCACAGGTTTGGGACTTTCAGGCAGGGGTCCAAGTAGTTTCCCTTTGTCCTGCCACTTTCCCTGGGAAACACTGTTTGTTCCGATCCAGCGGTAAAGAGCAGGTTTTCCTGGAGAAACCAGAGGACAAAGGGGAAGCTTCTTGTACCCATGCTTGAAAGTCCCAAACCCTTGCTTAGAAACTGTAGCACAAATGGAAGTCTCGAAGTTACTTCAACATAGGAATTGTGGGAAAATTCCATTTTGGTCACATTTAAGGTGGAACCTTTTAAATTTGTGAATTCTGAAACAGCATGGGAACACAAACACAGCCACCCTTCAAAATTCAAAATTTTCTTGATTTTATAATGCAGTTCTCCAGCCATGTAATGTGTACAAAAATGCACACACTGGCTAGTGGGAGCGTGATGCATGGTGGTCACACAACTGAGGAGGAGGAGGAGGAGGAGGAGGAGGAGGAGGAGGTGGCCGACAAGTGCAGGAGGTGGATCCAGCTACCCAGAGTCTGACACCCTGAGGCAACTGCCTCACCTACCCTCCTCTGGTCCCAAGGGGCCCAAAATAGTTAGACTCTAAGAAGAAAGAGAACCCTAAAGTATGACCTTTTATAGTTGCTGCTTTCAGGTTTTCAAACTTAGTCACAAGAAACTTGAAAGCTGATATTCTCAGTCAGGGGTCAGCAACCTTTTTCAGCCGTTTGGTGGGCTGGACTATATTTTTTTGGGGGGGGGGAATGAACGGACTCCTATGCCTGACAAATAACCCAGAGATGCATTTTAAATAAAAGCACACATTCTACTCATGTAAAAACACGCTGATTCCTGGACCATCCGCAGGCCAGATTGAGAAGGCGACTGGGCCGCATCCGGCCCATGGGCCTTAGGTTGCCTACCCCTGTTCTCAGCAATCTGAATTCCAACAGTGACTTCAAAAGAAGAAAAGAGCATCTCCTCCAGCCCATTTACAATGTTAAAATTGTAAATGCAGAAATAAAAACAATTCCATAAAGCATGTGTTTCATGATCATGATTTACATATTAATAGAATTGCCTAGCATGTGATAGAAATCAAGGGATTACTGCTCCAAGGCTTTTCTGATTTGTTAAGCAGCACCTCCCAAGTCACCTTCTCTGCTCCACAAATAGTTCTCTTGACCCTGACCAGAGTGCTCCTGAGCATCTAGATTTTTTAAAATAAATATTTTTAAAGTCATATTATAGTGCAGGCTTCCTCAACCTTGGCCCTCCAGATGTTTTGAGACTACAGTTCCCATTATCCATGACCACTGGTCCTGCTAGCTAGGGATCATGGGAGTTGTAGGCCAAAAACATCTGGAGGGCCGAGGTTGAGGATGCCTGTTATAGCGCTACTGAACATGCACATTGTGCTTTCCCATGTGAAGTGAACCTGCTTCTTGATTGTTTTTAATGAAAATATTATGCAAAGTAGGAAAATATGTAATGCAAAGCACACTTCTCCCTTTGATGCAACTGTAACATTAAACTTTCTGGGTGGAAACTGTAGACATAATCCAGGACATTGGATTACTCATTGAAATATCTCCCATTTCAGTCCCCTCAAATATTTTATCCCCATAACGTGATCTTGGCCTTTGGAGTTGGCTCCTGTGTTCCATTTGTGGCATGAAGGATCTTTCAGATCTACTATATTCCCATTTCTAAACAGAGATTTAACCTTAGACATCAGTATGGGCTGACTCAGGGATGAATAACATAGTTGGGATACTGTCTTCATTATTCACAAGTATCACTCCTCTCCCTGCCTCCCCACACTCAAAAAAAAAATTCAAGCGTTATGAACAGAATCCAGGAATCCTAAAATACACATTTGCTCTCTTGCTCTCAGACACAGAACTGAGCTGAAGGGAAAGAAATAAAAATACATCCATTAATAAGTAACTTTGTTCTAAATATAGATGAGAACTGGAAACTTTTCTGGGTTGCTTGGCTTCTGTGTAACTTGGAACTGTGCATTCTCCCAGTCCAATCAAATATATTATTGGCTTTACCTGGCTGCTTATTGCGTCCGGCTGCTTCAGACAGAACTCAAAGAGTCCAATACCTTCTTTCAAATCAACCCATTTCAACTCACATTCTTTCCAGAGCCAGGAACTCCCAAAGTCCTGGCTCTCTGTCTTCGTTGCTCACCAGGCCCTCATCCTGCCTTGCAAATCAGACATCATCCCAGTGCCAGAAAAAAAGTGTTAAATTCTCTGAGCTGCACACTTCAGCCCGTCAGAATATGACATCCAACTTCCTCTTATGGCAGTTTTAGTTGTGTACTACTATTAATAAAGAATTAAATGCACAAGGTGTGATCTCCTCCATCCACCCCTTTGCCCTCTCACGGTACTACAATGATCCAGCAGGATGGTGAAGCAAGTGCGGGGTGCAGCTTGCTGCATGACGGCACATGTGGCAGCCTTGATGAGGGTGTGGGTGCTACTTCAAAATGCATGGACAGCTCCTGCAGGGCAGCCACTTGGTCCACCTTCCTCCTACATGAGACACTATAAATCAGTGGTGTAGTGGGTGGGGCACAGAGGCAGTTGCCCCAGGTGCAAAATTGTTAGGGGTGCAAAATGTCAACACCCGGTACAGCTGCGAGCTTCCATCACTGGGCTCAATTGAAAACAGCTTCTCCACAAAAACCTGAAAGTGACCTCTCCAAACAACGGAAAGACTCTTTTCTTATCTCTGCGGCTCCAATCTCCTAGGTGACAGAGACACTGTTAGGCAGTTGAATGCTGGGCATGGCTCCGGGAGCTGGAAACCCAAGCTACACCATTGTTGCTACAAGCTAGGCACTTATGCACCAGTGGAGGCCTTCTTTTGGAGAAGAATGCTCCTGACCTGGCCCAACACTGCAGCCTGCAGCCCAGGTATAGGGGACCCCCCTTGATGTTGAGTCCATCAATCCCAGGCACCACAACCACATCGTCAAGGACGATGGAGCAACAACATCTGTAGGGTCTTCAGAAGGTACTGTCCAAAGCATAAAAGGTGTGCAATGATATCTAAAAAGTGTTAACTGCAGCATCAGGAAACTGAACATGCTGGAATGGGTAACTACTGACACACTTACACCCAATGAATTGTCTATGTATGTGACTGTCTGCAGTGAGTCTTACTGACTGCAGTTTTGTTCCTTCCACACAATTTGGAAGCATTTCCTGCTAACAGTATCATTGAACTGGCTTCTCCTGAGCTTATTTACTTGGGCAGTGGGAGCTTTCCCATGATCCAAGAAGCTTTTTCTTACTGGCTACTTGATGTTTATACTGGCTGAGCAGAACAGCTAACACTTCTCCTACCAAAGGGGCCTCAGCAACAGAGGAGCTATCAAAGCTATCTTCAGCACAAGTTGGTGGGTATATTAAAGCAAAAAGGTGAGAGCAGTTTAGTTCCCATTGCTTGCACAATAGACCCTCTCTCCTCCCGTTGAAATCTCTAAATAATTGTACTGTGTATAGCCATAATAATGTCAGAGAAGAGAGAATTTTGGTACCCTTTGCATACTAGAATTCGTTCTTCCATGACAAAAGTAAAAGTTCTGTCTTCTGTGCTATCTGGTCACCCTAGCAAATTAAGACAAATTAAAACATGGCAGCAAGCTGTGGAAGCTGTTGTGGGACCTTGAGTGAACCCCAATATTTTTCTTCTGTTAACCATACGCTATACCAGGTTTAAAAACACAACACAACTTTGCTGTTTCTGTTTGTGTGCACCCAAGGGTTGTTTAAATACATCTCCATCAGCAGCAGTGGAACAAGCCAATCCGGCGCCTGGGGCAGAACACTTTGCGAGGCCTCCGAGGAGTCTGCCTGCCTCCTCCCACTCAGCCGCCCTACAGCTAAGGGGGAGGTGGTGGGCGGACCGTTTGGGGCAGCATGGAGCCTGCGGGCGCCCAAGCCACTGTGTCACTCCCAGGAGAGACGTGTGGCTCGGGCACGCTGCAGGCCCTGCAGTGAGTGCTGCTCTGCATTTTGTCACCCCCCTCAGTGTTGACACCCAGGGTAGACCGCCCCCTGCCCCCTTCCTCCGCCCAGTCCATCGTATCAACACCTATGTGTGTTCACACCTTGGCTGGAGAGGTGGCTAGAGAAGAATTAGGACTCCAGTTGGAATAAAGCTGCTTTGAGAAACAACACATCTAACAGGAGTTTCCTACAACAAAGTACAAGTAGGCATTCTGGGTAGCGGAACATGTGGATTCCAGCAACAGCTGCAGATTCTACTCCCATAAGTCCCAGCTAGCAGAACAAAGTGGTCCAGGGTTTGTAGTCCAGTATCATGTGGAAGGCCACAGGTTCCCCACTGCTGTGTTAAGGGTATAAAGACTACCAGGAAAGCAAACTGCATCTTGCCCACAGTGAACTGTGAGAACAGTTTCTGTATCTAGACACTTGGACATCTCATGCATGATTTCCCCCCACTTCAGATCTTACACCAGAATCACATAAAATGTTTCCCCCCTTTCTGGTGAACACTGAAAGCCACTTTCAAGAGCCAGATTAAACATTAGGGGGAAAATTGAGATTGTGCTTACCTGTAATTCATAGGGCTTCAGGTTTCCAAAGTTGAGCTTTTCTGTGAACCTCCTTAAGTGTGTGGATGGTCTCTGTTAAGTTTGTCAGTTATCTAGCAGCAGATTACAAAAAGGGTGGGAATGCAGATCTCCTTTAAGAAGAAGAAAAGAGCAAATGGGGAAATCCCAGCCGCTCCATCTACTCCAATCAGCACATCCTTCCCACACTAGGCAGTGCCAGCAAACCAAGTCTTTCCCTCCCCAGGAGGCTAAGCAGCCTCCTGGGATGGGAATATCATTCTTGACCTTATAATCAAGAGCTGTAAATATTTACTTCTTGCTCCTTCCAGATGCTTGTTCAGGCCCTGTCCCTGCTGAGAGGAGTTGCACGCATGCTCTTTCGCTGGCTCTCTGTGTGCACATCTGTCTCTCTCTTTTACTCCGCTTCTTCAGTTGAGAAACTGGAGTTTGGCAGCCACAACTTTCCAGGTCTCGTGAGCAGCTTCCCCTCCCAGCTCCTGCCTGCGCAATGGAATAGTCCCTTCAAAAGAGGAGGTGTGGCACATCTTATAGGCAAGAGTTTTATTGGCACTTGGAGCATCTTGGCCTGGCTCCATCAAATTTACCCACAACTTGTCTGCAAAGCAGTTCTCCAAAACAGTTGTTTTAGCTTAAGTATAGGAAGCTGTTTCTTTTAATAAAAAAACCTATCCTGGTGCACATAGTTAAGAATGTGTGCTGTGCATCAGGAAGCCCCTGATCCAACAACCCCCAACTCACTAGGAGACAGAACAGATAGTGTGTGATCAGATCTCACTACACTTCACTTCAGGCCTGGTGGGAACTGGGAATCCAGCAACATCCAGAGGGCCACAGGCTCCCCTTCTCAAATATTGTATAAAGATGTTTTGCATATTAATAGTCCTATTATTATTTATTAATTCACAACTGCACCTGAGGATGCTTTAATAAGGCTGAAACAGCCCATTAGCAGATGTGTGTGTCAGTGTTATTCATAATACCCTGCCAATAATACAGTAATTTTAAAGTCTGGAAAATCAAAGCCATATTACTAGCACTGGGAGCTTTCCAGGAGACCCTGTGGTTAACTTTTCAAAACTGCCATCCCTAGAACATTTTAAGTGCCAAAAAGGAGCAGAAAATAGGCTTCTGGTGGAGTTGTAAATCAACCAATGATAGATTCCCCAGCTGTTTCCACTTAGATGAAACCTAATGAGAATGGCTCTACGTTTTATATGACAGTCATATATGCTGCAGGACATTGCTGTTTCTGTTGGGAAATAACCACGGAATACCAACTATTCCTGGAGTCCCACATGTGTGGGAAACTGCAAAAGAAAAATGGCTGACTGCCTGAATTGAAAATGTGTGGGCCTTGGCTCTAGTCAAAAGACCGCCCCCCCACTGGAATATACCATATTGGTCCGAATATAAGCCCCCCCCATATTTCGACCGTGAAAAGTTAAAGTGCAGCTTAAAATTGTGACCTTACAAAAATTGGCTTTTATGATATCGCTACTGAAACAGATATCGCTACTGAAACAGGGTCGCGGGTGGCGCTGTGGGTTAAAGCCTCAGCGACTAGGACTTGCCGATCGAAAGGTCGGCGATTCGAATCCCCGCGGCGGGGTGTGCTCCTGTCGCTCGGTCCCAGCGCCTGCCAACCTAGCAGTTCGAAAGCACCCTCGGGTGCAAGTAGATAAATAGGGGACCGCTTACTGGCGGGAAGGTAAACGGCGTTTCCGTGTGCTGCGCTGGCTCGCCAGATGCAGCTTGTCATGCTGGCCACGTGACCCGGAAGTGTCTCCGGACAGCGCTGGCCCCCGGCCTCTTGAGTGAGATGGGCGCACAACCCTAGAGTCTGGCAAGACTGGCCCGTACGGGCAGGGGTACCTTTACCTTTACTGAAACAGAACGTTATGGTAAAACAGAACGGGTGTGAGTGCCTGCGGATTTTTAAGGGAGCTGCTTATATTTGGGTATTGCCCTTTTTTCTCTCCTACCCCCCTTTAATTTTAAAGGTGTGGCTTATATTCAGGTGCAACTTATATTTGGGGCAATACGATATTTAGCGTTTGCAAAGCATGGGGGAAAATGGTTCTTAGGCTCCCACTCTCTGAGAAAGGCTCTACCACTCTCAGAGTCACTGGACCACAACCTTAAGCAAGTTTAAATGCTTTACTTAGTAATCAGAGGTCTCACTCGTGCTTAGTTAAATGCTACAGCAGAAACAACACAGGTAATGTAGTGTTGGTTGCAAAATAGCCAAGTCTTCAAGGGTGAGAAAGGAGTCATAATGTTAAGAAAAGGACCAAAACTCAGCAGTGGAACACACTCCTTATATGAGGGAAGCAGAAACAGCAGCACATCAGGTGCTGTTGGAGTCCAGCTCCCATCAGGATCAAGGTGCATGGGGAGGAGAGCTTAACAGGTTCCGCACCAATGGGTCCTGCTAAAAATCCCTGCCACCTTCCCCAAAGCCCTTGGAGGGAAGCTTCCTTTGGCGCCTCCTCAGGTAACAGCAGCTTCTGTGAGTGGGGATTTTCAGTTTCCAGTATAGAAACACAAAAAGACATACCATAATAACAAAGAAAAACAATAACACCCCCCCTACACCCCCACACCACTTAAACGTCAAAATTTCAAGTTGAGTTCTGAAATGGGAGTCCCAGATGGGCGCTGAAGGGCCAAAGGTTCACTACATTTGCTTTAAAACAACCCTTTCCATTACTTGCTGCAGCTCCATCCAGCAATGACTTGTATGTGTGAGTGAACTGCCAATGTTCTCATACCAGAAACAGAACTAGGTATCTCCTCAGACACCATGCTTTTCATTGGAGTCAGAGGGACATATGAAGCTGCCTTATGCTGAGTCAGGCAGACGACTGGTCCACCTAGCTCAGCGTTGGCAGTGATCACTCCCAGCCCTACCTGGAGAAGCCAGGGATTGGTCCTGTATGCAAAATGCAGATGCTCTGCCGCTGAGTTGACTTTGCACCTTTCTTGATTCCAAGGCACTGGGCAATACATGCATATGTGCGAAGCAATCCTCACCATCTCTGCTATGCTTGTGTTCGCTTCCTTGTTTTTTACCTGCAGCAGATCCTGACTTGTGTCCTTGGTCCCACTCCTGATTCTGATTTTAGGACAAAGGAATAAATAAGGGATAGCAAACATCTTACAGCATCCCCAAAGTTCTAGTATGGATGCTTTTCTATTATGAGATAATAGCCTTTAACTGAGGCAGGACTACAACTCCCACCATCCCTAGATGTTGACAATGCTGGCTAGGGCTGATGGGGACTGAGTGTAACAACATATGGAGGGCATCATAGTGGCTCTCCCTACACTTTGGGAAATAGTTGTAAAATTGCCTTTTATAACCCCTTATTGTTTATCACTTACAACATTTGCTCTTGTGGGTTGAGCACATTGTCTATTGTTTTGTCTATATGATTTGACCTGCTCTGAGACCTTCTGCTGAAGGTGGGTAAGAAATCTAATGGATAATATAATGGTGAGTAAGAAAAATAGTGGGCAGACAGACCGTTGAAATTTGGCCAGCTGGCAAGATAAAACACACATAAAAATATATCACTAAGCTTAGGGCCTAGCCTAAGAGTTCTGTGTTGCTCTTCCATAACCATTTTAAAAAAATACCTATGAAAAGCAGCCTTGAAAGGCTCTTGATGGAGGTGGACAGAAAGAGTGGATGATCTCCCATTGGCATTCTGCTGGTTGTCCTCTAAAAATCACTTCCCCCAGGTGCTTTCCCACCCATGCAGCGGCGTAGCGTGGGTTGTCAGCACCGGGGGCAAGGCAAGTAATTTGCGCCCCCTAACCCGTGGATTTGCGCCCCCTAACCCATGGATTTGCCCTAACCCCAGATGTTGCGCCCGGTGCGGCCGGCCCCCCCTGCACCCCCCACACTACGCCACTGCACCCATGCACATAAGGTAAAGGTACCCCTGCCCGTACGGGCCAGTCTTGACAGACTCTAGGGTTGTGCGCCCATCTCACTTAAGAGGCCGGGGGCCAGCGCTGTCCGGAGACACTTCCGGGTCACGTGGCCAGCGTGACAAAGCCTGGCAAGCCAGAGCCGCACACGGAAATGCCGTTTACCTTCCTGCCAGAGCGGTCCCTATTTATCTACTAGCACCCGGGGGTGCTTTCGAACTGCTAGGTTGGCAGGCGCTGGGACCGAGCAGCGGGAGCGCACCCCGCCGTGGGGATTCGAACTGCCGACCTTTCGATCAGCAAGCCCTAGGCGCTGAGGCTTTTACCCACAGTGCCACCCGCGTCCATGCACATAACTTGTTATTAATTAGGATAACCCTAGCATAGATAACAGGATAGGATGCTGTTGCTTTTGAGAAAACGAATGGGCAATTTAGAGATTACTATGAATAGTGTGATATGATTGGGAGGGGCACAGTTTTACTGAAAGTTATATTAGCTTCACATAGCCAATTAAGTGGGCACGCAGGGACAAGTATGGTGGTGACAGAAAGAGCAGAGTCCTGGCAAAGCATTTCATTCATCTCTGAGCTTAGAATTCTGGCACACCATTGTTGAAGTTATGGTAAAGAAGATTTCATACTCATTTCATTCCCAAGTAGGGAATTTTTTGCATGACACTATGGGAATCCTGGTAACTGTGTGGCATCATTTCCCATCACCCTGGGCATGTGTCATTGTTGTGGCATTGTGATGGGACAGAAGCATGCTAATGTGGATTGTAGCAAAGCTTGGGAACCTGGAATAATGTGTGCCTCTGTGTGTCAACATGAACCACCAAGGGTTCATCAAGAGTGGGATGGAGGACCTGGGATTCTATCAGATGAAAGGGAAACTGATTTGCTTCAGGGCCACCATATTTACAGTACATGGCGTTCTGGCACTTACACTCTCTACTGTCTTTGAGAACAGGATCTCCTGCATATAACCCTTCTCAAAGCAGCCTTGACCTCCTTGTTGCGTAGGGTGTAGATCAACGGGTTCAAAACAGGTGTGACTGCTGTATACAACACAGTCACAGCCCTAGAATCATAGAATCATACAGTTGGAATAGACCACAAGGGCCATCGAGTCCAACCCCCTGCCAAGCAGGAAACACCATCAGAGCACTCCTGACATATGGTTGTCAAGCCTCTGCTTAAAGACCTCCAAAGAAGGAGACTCCACCACACTCCTTGGCAGCAAATTCCACTGTCGAACAGCTCTTACTGTCAGGAAGTTCTTCCTAATGTTTAGGTGGAATCTTCTTTCTTGTAGTTTGGATCCATTGCTCCGTGTCCGCTTCTCTGGAGCAGCAGAAAACAACCTATCTCCCTCCTCTATATGACATCCTTTTATATATTTGAACATGGCTATCATATCACCCCTTAACCTCCTCTTCTCCAGCCTAAACATGTCCAGCTCCCTTAGCCGTTCCTCATAAGGCATCGTTTCCAGGCCTTTGACCATTTTGGTTGCCCTCCTCTGGACACGTTCCAGTTTGTCAGTGTCCTTCTTGAATTGTGGTGCCCAGAACTGGACACAGTACTCCAGGTGAGGTCTGACCAGAGCAGAATACAGTGGCACTATTACTTCCCTTGATCTAGATGCTATACTCCTATTGATGCAGCCCAGAATTGCATTGGCTTTTTTAGCTGCCACGTCACACTGTTGGCTCATGTCAAGTTTGTGGTCAACCAAGACTCCTAGATCCTTTTCATATGTACTGCTCTCAAGCCAGGTGTCACCCATCTTGTATTTGTGCCTCTCATTTTTTTTGCCCAAGTGCAATACTTTACATTTCTCCCTGTTAAAGTTCATCTTGTTTGTTTTGGCCCAGTTCTCTAATCTGTCAAGGTCGTTTTGAAGTGTGATCCTGTCCTCTGGGGTGTTAGCCACCCCTCCCAGTTTGGTGTCATCTGCAAATTTGATCAGGATGCCCTTGAGTCCATCATCCAAGTCATTGATAAAGATGTTGAATAAGGCGACTTCCAGGTTAGCGCCTCCGGCAATGGCAGATTTCCTCTGATCGGGAGGAATCCGCTTCGTGGAAATTAGGGTCTGGACTGCCACGGCGAGGCGGAGACCCACCAAAAACCACAGGCGGGAGAAGCCTGTGGACGTGGGATTCGGCTGGCACCTTTTGCGCCTCCCCTACTCGCGGGGAAACCCGGTTTCGGGGATCCGGAGCGATGTGGGGTGAGCGGCGCGGTGCTTCGAATCGACTGCTCTTTTCACGGAGTGAAGCCGCATTGCTGTTGCCGGAGAGCGCTGACTTTTTCCTGTGGACAATTGGACTTTAAACAACTACCCATGAGGAGAACAGAAAATTGGACTATGAAACATCTTAATTTGGTACCGAAGCGGGAGGTTCTAAACAGGAAGTCCGCCTTCCGCTTTTGTAAATAGATTGAAGCAAAGACACTGCAAGCTAAAGTCTGGAAAGTCTTTTGTAAAGGACTAAATCTCCATCGGCTAAAACTACTAAACTCCCCTTGGAAGCAGGAGAAGAGGGGGGAAATCTTAGATTGTTTAAGCCTGCAGGAGAGAGAGTAAAGAAAGATAAATTTCCACCGCCTTGAACCTGGGAACGGGTTGCCAGGAAGACAGACGTATTGGGAAAGTTCATTGACTGTGAATAAAATGTCTGTTGACAGATAGTTAAAAAAGAGAAACATTTTTATTCCAATGTTTCCTTTTGCATTTATAAGGAACAAAATATTTGAAAAACGAAAGTAATTTTGTTGCTGGATCTGCTTTTAAAAGGACGGATACAAATAGAAATTGTTTCCCCTAGAGGGAGCTTTTGAAACTGTTGTTGGAGTCGATCTGGGGAACTCTACAGCTGTAGAGATTAAAGATCGTGAGAACCAGACATTGACCTTGAACAAGAATGTGCGCAGAAGAAGCTTTAGTGATTGCTTTTTGCAAGACAAGCGCCTTATTGGAACAGCTACATGAGAAGATGGATTTGATGACTGTTTCAGTTAATAATTTTGGACAAACAGTGAATACCTATATAGAAACCACTCAGGAACGACCCAGGAATCTGCTTTGACAGGGCAAGTTGTGCAGAAGACAAAGGAGGAGGTTGTTGTTGAACCTCAAGTAATACAAGTGGAGAGAGCCGCGGATTTGCAGGAACATAAGCTGTTGTTTTTGATGACTGAACCTGGAGAAAGTCAGATTTGGAGAGATGGAATCTCGTTTGGATTGGAGATGGGAAGTTGGATAGATCCCCCTATGCAGGGCTGTTCTGGCTTCTGGGATCTGGTTTTGCGCCAGGGGGAGTCTGGAGTTGTGGGGGCCTTTAACTTTGGAGGGACTTTGAAACATGTCTTGAAATACCTTTTGGATTTTAGTGCTGACTATGGAGAATGGGCTGACCTGTCGAGAAGGGATAAAGACATTGCTAGGTTGGAGTCTCCCCGAGATCTACTCCTCAGCGATAAAGGAAGGAAATTAAGAACAAGATCAGCAGAAGACAAAGTAAAGTGCAGGTATAAATATGAAGAAGATCTGCAGAAGGGACATGGAAAAGAGTTAAGAGCCTCGGATAGAAGATCACCAGGTTGATGGACTAGATGGAATGGATAGAAAGGACTGACAGAACCCGAGACCAGGAAGAAGAGACGGTGGATGAAGATTGGAAGAAAGTTTAAAAATTCATTTAGAGAAATATTGTAAAATTAATGAGTGTTAGAAAAAATGTTGGAATGAAACTATTTGGCTTTAGTAGAAATGCTATAAGGAGTTATGTACAAATAAGTTTTAAGTTTTAGGGCTTTTTATGGTAAGATAAGGTTAAAATAAATTAAGACAATTTAATGACAGAATATAGTGAAAGATGGAAAGGATTTGCTGAGATAATTAATAACTAGAATACAAAAAAGGGAGGTGTGAGGAGGTCGATGAAACAAGTTAACGAAAGATAAAGATTTGGGAATATTGGATTTGTTTTTAATTTTTTGTTTGCTCTTGTTTTTGGTTTTGATGTATTGTGTGTTTTGTTCTCTTTTTTTTTTATTGACTTGTATTGTTTAATTTCTTTTTCCCCTCTTTTCTTTTTTCCTCTGTAATTTTAAATTCTCAATAAATATCATTTTTTTTAAAAAAAGAAAGAAAGATAAAGATGTTGAATAAGACCAGGCCCAAGACAGAACCCTGTGGCACCCCACTAGTCACTCTTCTCCAGGATGAAGAGGAACCATTGATGAGCACCCTTTGGGTTCGGTCAGTCAGCCAGTTACAAATCCACTGAGTGGTAGCATAGTCAAGACCGCATTTTACCAGCTTCTTTACAAGAATATCATGGGGCACCTTGTCAAATGCCTTGCTGAAATCAAGGTAGGCTACATCCACTGCGTTCCCTTCATCTACCAGGCTTGTAATTCTGTCAAAAAACGAGATCAGGTTAGTCTGACATGACTTATTTTTCAGAAATCCATGCTGACTATTGGTGATCACAGCATTCCTTTCTAGGTCTCACAGACTGTTTGCTTAATGATCTGCTCCAGAATCTTCCCTGGTATTGATGTCAGACTGACTGGGCGATAATTATTTGGGTCCTCTCTTTTCCCCTTTTTGAAAAAGGGACAACATTTGCCCTCCTCCAGTCTGCCGGGACTTCGCCTGTTCTCCAGGAATTCTCAAAGATGACTGCCAGTGGTTCTGAGATCACATCTGCCAGTTCTTTTAATACTCTTGGATGCAGTTCATCTGGCCCTGGAGACTTGAATACATCTAAACTAGCCAAGTATTCTTGTACTATCTCCTTAGTTATTCTGGGCTGTGTTTCCTCTGCTGAATCATTTGCTCCAAATTCTTCAGGTCGGGCATTGTTTTCTTTATCGGAGAAGACTGAGGCAAAGAAGGCATTGAGGAGTTCAGCCCTTTCTGTGTCCCCTGTTTGCATTTCACCATCTTCTCCTCTGAGTGACCCCACGGTTTCTTTGTTCTTCCTTTTGCTACGAACATACCCATAAAGGCCTTTTTTGTTGCTTTTAACCTCTCTAGCAAGCCTGAGTTCATTCTGTGCTTTAGCTTTTCTGACTTTGTGTCTATATGTGCTGGCTATTTGTTTGAATTCCTCTTTGGTGGTTTCCCCCCTTTTCCATTTTTTGTACACATCCTTTTTTAATCTTAACTCAGTTAAAAGTTCTTTAGATAGCCACCCTGGCTTTTTTAGGCACCTTCCATGTTTCCGTCTCATTGGTATTGCCTGAAGTTGTGCGTTTACTATCTCCCTCTTAACAAACTCCCAGCCATCATGAACTCCCTTTCCTTTTAGTATTACTGTCCATGGGATCTCACCCAGCACTTCCCTAAGTTTTATGAAGTCGGCTTTCTTAAAGTCAAGAAATTGAGTCCTAGTATGCTTGGCTGCTCCTTTCCGCTGTATAGTAAACTTCAGAAGAGCATGATCACTCGCGCCTAATGATCCTTCCACTTCTACCCCACTAACCAGGTCATCAACATTGGTTAGGACCAGATGTAAAATGGCTGTTCCTCTTGTTGCTTCTCCCACTTTCTGGACAATGAAGTTGTCTGCAAGGCCAGTGAGGAATCTGTTTGATCTTATGCTCTTGGCTGAGTTTGACATCCAACAAATATCCGGGTAATTGAAGTCCCCCATTAGTACTATCTCCCTCCCTTTTGCATGCTTGGCCATCTGTTCCAGGAAGGCATCATCTATGTCCTCCGTTTGGCTTGGGGATCTATAGTAAACTCCCTGTCTGTATCCAGAGAACCCTCTGAGTGTGGCCGTAGATGCATAGCTCCAGCAGAGCAGTAATGGAGGGCCACTACAGTGAGGTGAGCCCCACAGGTGGAGAAGGCACGTTGGAGACCTTTTGCTGAGCGCATGGCCACCACTGCCCTTAGAATGAGAGCATAGGATGTCAGAGTTAAGGCAAAGCAACCCATGATGATGGAGCCAGTGACCCCAGCTAACAAGGCCTCGTTGAGCCAGGTGTCTGAGCAGGAGAGTGCCAGGAGTGGAGATATATCACAGAAGAAGTGCTCCACCTTGTTGTCTTGACAGAAGGAGAGCTGGGACATCATGATGGCATGGAGGAGTGAGTGGAAGAAGCCAGCTGTCCACACCAAGGCAGCTAGGGTCCAGCGCAACTGGCGATTCATCAGGACAGGGTAGTGGAGTGGATGGCAGATGGCCAAATAACGGTCGTAGCCCATGATGGACAACAGCATAGCTTCAGTGCTGCCTAGAAAATGGAAGAAGAACATCTGGGCAATGCACCCTGCAAAGGAAATACGATTGCTATGGGAGGCTAGCCCCACAAACACCTTGGGGACGGTGGTGGAGAAGTAAAAGATGTCAATGGAGGCCAGATTGCCAATGAAGAAGTACATGGGTGTCTGGAGCTGCAGGTCCCAGAAGGTGACTCCTACCACCACCAGGTTTCCAGAGATGTTGGCTAAGTATAGGAGTGTGGGGGTCAGATGGGATTACCATGAGGAATTATAAAATATACATCAAGCCATCGTGTCCACGATGAAGACATTGTGTTGACTGTGTTTGATATATTGACGATAATTTCTGATTAAATCCCATAAGATTCTACATTCATGCCCTTTTAATGCCCTTTGGCCTCTGCTGCCCATTTCCCCCTGCCTGGCAAAGCACGTAGACACTTAGACAGGCAGGCGTCCTGGGTCATCAAAGACAGTGGGCAAGTTTATTTGATGTAGGATCTTAATCTTAGAGCTAGGAAGCAGATCTCACATTAAGGTGATAATGGTTGCTGTCCTCCTGGCCATCCTCCTTATCATATGTGTATTGCTTGTTTATTACCTCCGGGGTTGCCAGATACTCTTCTTTGTAGTTCTCAACTTATTTACCCCAGAAATATTTGTGCTTAATTAGTTTTAGTAGTTTAACTTGTCCCCACGTGGGATTGTGGAAATGCTCAGAAGAAATCTGATTGGTTCTTACAAACACTCTGTAAAAAGCTTTTTTGTGAATAAAAACGGCCTGGGCCAGGGGGCTGCAGATTCGGACAAGCACAGAGAGACACGATTATACGCACTTTCTCCGAGAGCCTTGCTGGTCAAAGCCTCGTGTCTTGTTTTTAATCAGGGTCCAGTCCTTCCTTTACTTTGCAAATGCAACATAGGAGCAGAAAAAGACCAAAGAGAAAGCCATGAAAATTATGGGCACCGATCAGGATGAATTCAGTGACTGATGTCCCGTTGTGCATCAGCCTGATGAATTTAGAAAGCAGGGATGAAAATTGCTACAGGTGAAAAAAAGAAAATCACCAAGACATTCTGGAAAACGAGAGTTACCTTAGCTTCTGTGAGTTACCCGTACCTAGAAATTGCTGTAAACCCAATCTTATAAGGCCATTTACATTTACAGCATGATCTGCTCTCTCAATGATACAATTTGGTTCTCATCACTCTGTCTTCTGCTTCCTGGCCATTAGCAATTATTATTATTTTATTCCTACCCTATTTACTCGATGCAGCTTAAATCCCTCCCCCCAATTATTATATATATTTTTTGCATGGATTCTCCAAAGAATCAATTCAGCTATTGGGTTTAAATGAATAAGCAGACATGTCAAAAGTTCTACTAAGACTGTAATTCCAGCCCAGTGTGCAGAGAAGATTCTCTTACATCTCATCTGGGAGTCATGAGCCTTTGCATGAGTATTTTGTGCTTTGATGTTGATATTCTTCCCCTCAGATGGGGGCAATTTGGTGTACAAAGGAGAATTTCAGTGATGTATCTTTCCCTGATGCCCTATCTGCATCCATTGCTATTGCAGGAGGTTGTGAAGGGGCTCCCATGGCAGTTCAAGCTTCAAGGCCCCCCAGATGTAGGTCCACCACTAGGTAGAGGTTGGGCTAGGTGGCCCTTGTGGAGCCTTCCAACCCTACAATACCATGATGCTGTGATTCTGTGATTCTTTCAACAGTCCAGCCTCCCCTCCTGACTGGTCAACACCTTCCTCTACTGCTAGGGAATCTCACCACACCATGGATGAGGTGTGGCAGGGAGCTGTTGTGGGACTGTCTCCCTTTCCCATGGCTTCTCAAGGCCACAAAATGGAGCCCCGTCCTCCCTCTCAGGCCACTCCTTGCTGGCAGCACCCTCTGCAGCCTTTTCCTCATTTGACAGCAACTGCAGCTGCAGCCTTGAGCCATTTGGGACCACAGGGCTCACAGCATCTGACCCCACTTCTTTCTCAGATGGGCGCAGGAGTGCTGACTCTCATTTCTGCTCACTATATGTACAGTAATTTCCTCTTTATAGCTTTGATTCAGGGCTCAGTGAAAGGTCAAAGAACACCTGAGACAGGGACATTGCTGATGCTCTGCAGATGTGGACCTGATCAGTCCCTTGGATGGGTGGGTCCCTGGGAGCCCCACAAAGCAGCAGAAAATAATAAATTGTTATTTTAAAATATTAAATATAAATAAAGGAGCAGAAGGTTCAAGTTATATTTTTACCAAACTATGGAGTGAAAATGTGACTTAGAAGCCACTGTACCAGCTGACCTGGGGCCAGATGGGGGAATCGGAGGGGAGGCTCCAGGACTCCTCACCGGAGACCAGCGGAGAGAGTACGGGTACTCCGCTGCCCACACCCTCCCTGCGCAGGAGACTTCCGCGCAGGGAGAGTAGGAGGAGACTTGGCGTCAAACAGCTTTTATGCTGGAAAAGGTTCAAGAGACGCCCACTGACGGATTCTGCCAGCGACTGAGACAGCCACGAAACTTGAGGCTGTCCAGACAGAGAGGGTTCAACCAGGCAACCTAGCCAGGAGTGGCAGCAACTTACGCACGAGCAACCCCTAGAACCATTACAGGTGATTAATGTATAGACACACATGTAGCAATAATGGATTGGATCCCCCTGTACACCCAAAATTGTCTTTTGCAGGGGGAGGGGTCATCGAGGATAACCCCCAGAACAGTGTGTGGGTTATTCTTCCATCTGTCCAGCTGCAATGCTTGTGCTGATGGAACATTAATTCCACCTAACTGCTATAATTTAGAAAGAAACCCAATGCGTCTCATCATAGTGGAGAAGGCATCAGATGACTTTTTTGCCAGCTCCATCAAGGCAACTTCTAGGCCTTTTTCCTGTTTTCCGGTTCCATATCTTTAAAGCAGACTTGGCCTGAACAGTCCTCACAGAGAGGACAACTCCAAACAGAGGACTCTTCCTTATAAAGCTGGACACATGGTCACCCTAGGCCAGTGATGGCGACCTATGGCACATGTGCCAGAGGGGGCACTCAGAGCCCTCTCTCTGGGCATGTGCACCGTCACCCCAGCACAGAGCCGGCAGAAGGCGAGGGTGGCGCATCAAGTCCTCAGCTCAACTTGGGCAGCCGGAGTGCCATGGGCATGGTGGGTCGGTGCAGGAAACTGCGCGGCAGGAGAGGGATGTGATGCCTGTCAGGGCACCGACTCTCCAAAATGGAGGGCACAGCTATTCTTTGGCCTGAATTCATTGTGCCCAACTGCTCAGAGGCTTCCGGAGCATATTGTGGTGATTATTTTGTGAGTATTTTGTGTGAGCCGTTTGCAAAATAGCACTGGCAATGATTATGGTGGGCCCTCAGTTTCAGATGCTGCTGCAAGGTTGAGGCCAGTTGGGGCTGGGCAAGGGAGAAGGACTGGCCCGTGGGGCAGCCCCACGGCCATTTCAGGGGGGCACCACTCTGCACGCACTCAGAGGGCCACGCCAAGAACGCTTGCTTGCTCGGGCTGGAGGTTAAAAGCGGGGAATCCTTAAAGTGTGGAATTCTCTGCCAAATAATTTTAAGTCAATGAAAGCACTTGGGATTGCTTTCCTTACTTTGTTTGGATCATCTTAATGCAAACTTATACCTTTCAATAAAAAGTTGTTTGTATCATTGAAAGCTCTGTTGTTGTGTTTTTCTTTTAAGTCAAAAGATGTTAATGTATGAGTTTTTTTTTCTAAACTAAAACCTCAGTATTCAGGTTAAATTGCCGTGTTGGCACTTTGTGATAAATAAGTGGGTTTTGGGTTGCAGTTTGGGCCCTCGGTCTCTAAAAGGTTCACCATCACTGTCCTAGGTGCCTGGTCACAAGTGGAGGAAAGCCCAGGAGGAATTATGTCGTAAACTGCCCTGTGATCTTCGGATAAGGGCCGGTATGTAAAATCATCATCATCATCATCACAGCAGCTCATTTCTCCTTGAACGTGCTTTGTTTTTCCTATCCTAGGCCCCATTGTGCTCATTAGCATGCATTGCAGCTGAGGGCATTGTTACAAGGGACTGTCTCTGTGGATTATTTATTCCTGTTGCGTCAGCTTCTTCTAGTTCTGGGACTGCATTCTCCTGGTGCAGAAAGTGTGGTGGAGTAGTTTCAGATCTTGTCTAATTAATGGAAGGCCAAGGACGATAACTTTTAATTAGATCTTTTCCCAGCTGACCTTCTTTCATTTCTGTTCACTGCCATTGCTTCCCCTCTCTGCTGAAGTTCTGGTGCTGTGTTAAACAGCCCCCTTGGTGGTGGGCGAGCTGGATGGGCACCCAGGATGCTGAACTGAGGGATTCCAAGCTGAGCTCAGTGGCTGCGCTTCTTCTCAGTGGCTGTACTGCCTGGAGTGAGTGAGGGTGTCAAAAGGCAGGTGTGCCCAGGAGCTTTTTCTTCAAGGTTCTACAAGTTGTTTGGGTGCTAACTACAAAAATGATCATCCTTCAACTAGCTTTAAAGTACGTCTCCACTTTGATGTCATTTGTTTTAGGCGAATGTTTTACGATAGTGCATAAAATCAAAATTGTGTATCCTCAAAACACACTCTCCCTGCACCTCAAAACATTGTTCCAAAGTAAGTATAATGTCAGGTGGGACTGCCAGTGTTTTTCCCCTACAATGCCAGCCCCCTATTATTATTATTATTATTATTAGCCAAGTGCATAAAGCTGAACTCACACAAGTTAAATTCACACAAGTTAAATGTGCATAAGTTGCAAGTTGACTCTACAGTAGACCCACAACTTCTGCACATTTAACTTGTGTGAATTCACCTTTTCACACTTGGCATTAAAAAAATGGAAAGAGGGTGGAAAGGAGGTCCCTAGCTAACAGGACCAGTGGTCAGGGATGATGGGAATTGTAGTCCCAAAACATCTGGGGGGGGGTGAAGGTTGCCTATGCCTGGTTTTGACTATATGCGATTCTGGCTTTGGGCACAATTCCTGGAGTGTAACCCCCTTGTAAATTGCAGACTTATTGTACTATAAACACTGTAAGTACTATATACATGATAATAAAATCAAGCTGCAAGCTGGAAGAGGTCAACTGGATACCTTTTTAAATTTATAACGTTTCTTTATTATTTTTTAAGATAAAAAATGGGCATTATGAAAATAAAGATTGCTTACCAAAAGACAGGAATGGTGACAATTATTAAATGCGGAGTAAGGCATTTGCTAGGCTTGGTCATATTGTTACTACAGCTCTATATTCTGGGGCAATGGCAGTTTTCAAAGTTATGAAAAAGCAGCAAGGGAAGAAGACTGAAGAAACAGCTACCGTAGCCTAGGAGCCGATGGATACTGTCTCTGTCTCCTGCCAACCTAGCAATTCGAAAGCACATCAAAGTGCAAGTAGATCAATAGGTACCACTCTGGCGGGAAGGTAAACGGCATTTCTGCGCACGGCTCTGCTTTCGCTAGAAGCGGCTTAGTCATGCTGGCCACATGACCCGGAAGCTGTACGCCGGCTCCCTCGGCCAGTAAAGCGAGATGAGCGCTGCAACCCCAGAGTCGTTTGCGACTGGACTTAACTGTCAGGGGTCCTTTACCTTTTTACCACTCCAGTAGAGGACCTTCTCCTTGTAGCTGAAGAGGGAGTGTTGATGGTCTGGGAAGAGAGCTTGCAGCAGAAGCCATTTCACCAACATAATAAAGAATATAGGACAACTCCCTGAGCCTACAGTTTTGTGAGAGCCATCCTTTGAGAGCCATCCAACCCACTTGACAGGGACTTCATGGGATCCTAGAATTGGAGCACTTAAATCAGAGGCTGCTCACTCTGGGCCCTTTTCATAGGCAGAAAACATGGAGGTTGCAGGAGGCCGGTGGTCCTGCTATGTTTTGCAATGCCACACAAGCCTTTAAGCAGAGGCTTGACAACCATATGTCAGGAGTGCTCTGGTGGTGTTTCCTGCTTGGCAGTGGGTTGGACTCGATGGGCCTTGTGGTCTATTCCAACTCTATGATTCTATGATTCTATGATTCAAGCCATGCAACTTGGAAAAGCGTGAATTTCAAAGGGCAGCTGTCTTTTGCTTTGTGTGTTGTTTCGGAAAATGTGTATTTTGAAATTTTGTCTTTACATGCAAACAAACAAATATCCTATTCTTTTTATTAAAAACCCCCCAGTATTTCAGATCTGGCATAGTGTTTACCCGGTACATTCCAATGTTGAATACAATTAGTGATGACCAGTAATTTTTTTTAAAAAATGTACCTTATCATTTTGTAAGTCAAATATGACCTTTGCTTCTTTTGTAATTCCATGATCTGATATTTCAAAAACTTGATTTGTTGTTGTTTAGTCATTTAGTCGTGTCTGACTCTTCGTGACTCCTGTCTTCCACTGCCTCCCGCAGTTTGGTCAAACTCATGTTCGTAGCTTCGAGAACACTGTCCCACCATCTTGTCCTGTCGTCCCCTTCTCCTTGTGCCCTCCATCTTTCCCAACATCAGGGTCTTTTCCAGGGAGTCTCCTCTTCTCATGAGGTGGCCAAAGTATTGGAGCCTCAGCTTCAGGATCTGTCCTTCCAGTGAGCACTCAGGGCTGATTTCCTTCAGAATGGAGAGGTTTGATCTTCTTGCAGTCCATGGGACTCTCAAGAGTCTCATCCAGCACCAGAATTCAAAAGCATCAATTCTTTGGCGATTAGCCTTCTTTATGGTCCAGCTCTCACTTCCATACATCACTGCTGGGAAAACCATAGCTTTAACTATACAGTGGTGCCTCGCAAGACGAAATTAATCCGTTCCGCGAGTCTCTTTGTCTAGCGGTTTTTTCGTCTTGCGAAGCAACCCTATTAGCGGCTTAGCGGATTAGCGCTATTAGCGGTTTAGCGGCTTAGCGGATATTAAAGGCTTAGCGGCTTAGCGGCTTAGAAAAAGGGGGGGGGAGCGAAAAAAATCGCAAGACTCGCAAGACGTTTTCGTCTTGCGAAGCAAGCCCATAGGGAAAATCGTCTTGCGAAGCAACTCAAAAACGGAAAACCCTTTCGTCTAGCGGGTTTTTCGTCTTGCGAGGCATTTGTCTTGCGGGGCACCACTGTACGGACCTTTGTTGGCAAGGAGATGTTTCTGCTTTTTAAGATGCTGTCTAGGTTTGTCATTGATTTTCTCCCAAAAACTTGATATAGACACCTTAAAGCAAGGATGGGGAGTCCTTGATCTGCCAAATGTTGTTGGACTGCCTCCCCCAGGAGATGATGGGAACTGAAGTCCAAGACCTTCTAGAGGGCAACGGGTTCCCTGCCTTAAGGCATTCCTACTACATATGCCAATATACACCTTGTGTTAATGTTCAGTGTTATAAATTGTTCACATCTGTCTGTATTGAGAGAAAAAGGAGGAGTGCACCTTAGGGGTGAGGTCAAGCCGTTGGAGAGTTACAGTGCTTGCTGTGGCCATAGAGACTGAGACAGGAGAAACATGTTTTGTTGCAGGTGGGGCAGACAAAGGCATCCGGTTTCACTGTTACAGATGCGCTATGGCGTTTCTTCTCTCTGTGCTCCTCCCAGCGGTCACTACTGGTCTTCTTCTGGTCACTATTGAGGATATACAACCTGTCTCCAAGCATTGTGGTCATCTGCAAGGGAATCCCATACAACGGGGTTGATGTTGCCAGTCTTCATGTCACATTTGCAGACATCTTTGTTGCACAGAGTTGGTCTGTCAACAGGCTTGGTGTCTGAAGACAGCTCCTCGCAGAGCACATCGTTTGGGATCCTACCAACTTCCATTCTGTGGGCATGACCAAGCCAGCATAGACGTCACTGGGACAGGAGTACAAACATGCTGGGAATGTAGACTGGGTAGAAGACATCTTTGTTTGGGACTGTCCTGCCAGGTAATGTTACAAATAAATGAGTGGAATTCAACCTTGCACTATGTTGATTGTTCTGTCTGCACAAGTGCATCAGCTTGGCAGGTGGAACAATCTGCCTCCCCTCCTCATGTGTGCTGTTTTGTGGGTTCTCCTGACCCCCCAAGTCAATTTGGGGGTTGCGGGAGGAGAAGAGCTCCATTGCACAAGTGGAAGTCCTTGCACAGGGCTTCGGCTGATGGGGTTCATGAGGTGAATCCTGCCCATTAAGTAGTTGTTGTTATTTTAAAAACTTTCTACTGTTTGTGTTACTGTTTTCCCTTCAAGACTTTGCTCTGTTACCTGATTACATTGGTGTTTAAAATAATTCAATAATAATAATAATAATAATAATAATAATAATAATAATAATAATAATTTATTATTTATATCCCGGCCATCTGGCTGAGTTTCCCCAGCCACTATGGGCAGCTTTCAATCAAGTGTTAAAAACAATACAGCATTAAATATTAAAAACTTCCCTAAACAGGGCTGTCTTTTAAAGAGAAGATAGCTGCTTATTTCCTTCACATCTGAAGGGAGGGTGTTCCACAGGGAGGGCGCCACTACCGAGAAGGCCCTCTGTCTGGTTTCCTGTAACCTCACCTTGCAATGAGGGAACCGCCAGAAGGCCCTTGGTGCTGGATCTTAGTGTCTGGGCTGAACGATGGGGGTGGAGACACTCCTTCAGGTATACTGGGCCGAGGCCATTTAGGGCTTTAAAGGTCAGCACCAACACTTTGAATTGTGCTCAGAAACGTACTGGGAGCCAATGCAGATCTCTCAAGACTGGTGTTATGTGGTCCTGGCGGCCACTCCCAGTCACCAGTCTAGCTGCCGCATTCTGGATTAGTTGCAGTTTCCGGGTCACTTTCCAGGGAGCACATTGCAATAGTCCAAGCGGGAGATAACTAGAGCTTGCACCACTCTGGCAAGACAGTCCGCAGGCAGGTAGGGTCTCAGCCTGCGTACCAGGTGGAGATGCTAGACAGCTGCCCTGGACACAGAATTAACCTGCGCCTCCATGGACAGCTGTGAGTCCAAAATGACTCCCAGGCTGCGCACCTGGTCCTTCAGGGGCACAGTTACCCCATTTAGGACCAGGGAGTCCCCCACACCCACCCACACCCTGTCCCCCAAAAACAGTACTTCTATCTTGTCAGGATTCAACCTCAATCTGTTAGCCGCTATCCATCCTCCAACCGCCTCCAGGCACTCACACAGGACCTTCACCGCCTCCACTGTTTCTGATTTGGCAGGGGGTTGGACTCGATGGCCCTTGTGGTCTCTTCCAACTCTATGATTCTATGATTCTATGATTTAAAAGAGAGGTAGAGCTGGGTGTCATCTGCATATTGATGAACACCCAGCCCAAACCCCCTGATGATCTCTCCCAGCGGCTTCATATAGATATTAAAAAGCATGGGGGAGAGGACAGAACCCTGAGGCACCCCACAAGTGAGACCCCCGGGGTCTGAACACTCATCCCCCAACACCACTTCTGGACACGGCCCAGGAGAAAGGAGCAGAACCACTGTATAACAGTGCCCCCAGCTCCCAGCCCCTCTAGATGGTCCAGAAGGATGTTATGGTTGATGGTGTCAAAGGCCGCTGAGAGATCCAGCAGAACTAGGAAACAGCTCTCACCTTTGTCCCTAGCCCGCCGGAGATCATCGACCATTTCGGCCAAGGCAGTTTCAGTCCCAGGGTGAGGCCTGAATCCCGATTGGAAGGGATCCAAATGATCTGCATCCTCCAGGCGTGCTTGGAGTTGTTCAGCAACCACCCGCTCAATCACCTTGCCCAAGAATGGAAGATTTGAGACTGGGTGATAGTTGGCCATAATGGCCGGGTCTAAAGATGGTTTTTTAAGAAGTGGTTTAATGACCGCCTCTTTCAGCGGGTCTGGGAAGGCTCCCTCACGGAGGGAAGCATTCACCACCCCTCAGAGTCCATCGCCCAGCCCTTCCCGGCTTGCTTTTATCAGCCAGGATGGGCAAGGATCAAGGAGACGGGTGGTTGGTTTCACTCCTCCAAGCAGCCTGTCCACATCCTCGGTGGTTTAGGATGATTCTAGTGAGATGTCATGCATTTTTGTCATCATCTATCTCTGCCCCTCTCTTGATTAAAAAACAAAAATGTTGGTGCTTCTGACAATTCTCTCGAAGTACTGACTTGACCAATTATCTTGTCTTACATGTAGATACTAGAACATGATGGTGACAGACAGTGATGAACATTGAACAGGAAATAAGATGAGATTTAAAAGTAAGAGAAAACTTAGCAGAAGAAATCCAAGGATATCAGTCAGAGGTAGTCTAAATATTTTTGGACTACGGCTCGCATGATCGGACATGCATGCAGGACTTTTTCCTGGATCTGACTTCCTCAGCTCAAGAACACCAAGTCCAGCGGCCCCATTTGCCTAGCCTCCTCCTGGCAGCCCGCTTGACCTCAGTATTACGGAGACTGTAGATGCCAGGATTAAGGGTAGGGATTACCACCGTGTAAAAGACAGAAGCCATCTTGTCGGTCTGTGGTGCATAAGTGCCACCAGGCCGTAGGTACATGAAAATAAGAGTTCCATACAGCACCCCCACAGCCGTCAGATGGGACCCACAGGTGGATATGGCTCTCCTTGACCCTGCTCGCCCCACACTGCAGAGGATCATGCCATAGGAAGTGAGGATGGCTGCAAGAGTGCTGCTCTGGATGGTTCCACAGACCACATAAAGCAGCAGCTGGTTGAGGTCTGTATTTGCACAGGCCAAAGCCAGCACTGGAGGGATGTCACAAAAGAAGTGGTCCAAAGTATTAGCATTGCAGAAGGGCAGGCAGAATGCCATGCCAGAGTGGATGGCTCCAGAGGTCACACCAGCTGTGCAGGACACTGCCACTAGGAGGCGACAAAGGCGCTGCGGCATGGCTGCTCCATAGTGCAGAGGGCGGCAGATGGCTGCATAGCGATCATAAGCCATAGCAGCCAAGAGGCAACACTCAGCATCAGAAGCAGCTGCAAAGAAGAACATCTGGAGGGCACAGGCGGGGAGGGGGATGGTGTCGTGTCCTTTCAGAAGGCCCAGGAGCAACTTGGGGGCCACGGTGCAGCAGGAGCACAGGTCCATCAGGGCCAGGTGGCTCAGGAAATAGTACATGGGAGAGTGCAAGGATTGCTCAGCCCTGATGAGAATGGCCAGAAACAGGTTCCCGGCCAGGCCAAGGAGATAGATGGGCAGGAAGAAGCTGAAGAGAAGGAGCTGAAGGTCGCGCTGGGAAGTGAAGCCCAGGAGGACAAACTCTGTCACCACAGTGCCATTGTGATGAGCCATCGGATCTGCTGGAGGGAGAAACGACTTTGAATCCTTTCCTCCACACATTCCATCAAGAGAGCAGACCCAGCCCTCTTTTTATTAATGATAAATAAATCACAATTAATTATTATTTGATTGCTCAACCCTACATGCCCAGACATTCCTCAAGGAAGATGCCCCATTCTCTTCCACTAAGAGTAAATAGAAGCTCATAGCCCTGGGCATGATTTACCACTGAGCTGTTCAGAACCACAGCCTTCATTCAGCCATGAAAGATAGAGATAAAGAGACCGGATGACCATTGTTTCAGCTCCAGTATTCAGAGGAAGGGAGTGTATTGGGCGTTAGGTAGTATCTCTGGTGGAGGACACATGGTGCTTCTTCTGGTAGTTTGTCCGCCTTTGGTCCCTACCCTGCACTCAGCTCTCACCTGTGGCTCCTAGAAACTTTCAGCATGCAACAGTGGCTGCACCCCTGAAATGGTGTTGACTGGCTGGCTAAAGCAGGTCAGAGGAGCCAATAGGTCTCAAACCCTCAGTGTGTTAGGGACTTCCCCTGCATATGAAGACAGGCTCCAGCAGATTGAGCAGACGATACTGAAAGTGGGTCCAATGGTTAAGAAGGCGGTTTCTGCACATGCTGTAGAGGGAAGTGAGGGACAGGTGGTGCTTGTCAACCTAAGAAGGTAGCCCATCTAGGAGAGGGAAAACTCTGATCCTAAACCTTTGCTGCCTTGCAGGACATCTTCAGAAGAAGGAAAGGCTAAGGAGTAAACCCTACACAAATCCGGAGTGGAGGCCCTGAGACTGTTGGGTGGCGCTTTGTATGCCTCTTTCCAACAACTCCTGCAGCCAAGCTGGTGCCAAATGTATTGCTCTGCTTTCCTTTGGACCACATCAGCAAGGCTGAGGGGTCTTGTCTGGCCAGCCCAGGACCTCCATGCACACTGCCAGGGATTTTTTTTCCAGCTGGAACTCAGTTCCAGCACCTCTCAGGTGGGTGCCATTGGCATTATAAGAGAACAAGGGAGGCATTCATGGTGAGTTCCAGCACCTCTTTCCCCAGAAAAACAGAACTGCACACTGCCCTTGTGTCCTAGGAGGTCACTTCAGAGTTGCTACCACAGTGGTTTGACGTCAAACCCAGAGGAGCACTCTGTTGTTTCTCAGGACAGACAGATACCAGCAGTTCAGAGGAAAGCAGGAACTCCTCATGCCCACCAGATGGTGATGGAACACTTATCGTGGAGAGCATGGAGAGTGGAATTGCCATGGACATGGACACACAAACATACAGGATTGAATCCAGTGCTAGTCCTTCTCAGAGTAGACCCATTGAAATTACTAAACTTAAGGTAGTCATGCTTATTATTATTATTATTATTATTATTATTATTAGAATTTATATTCTCCCCAATATCCTGAGTGCTCAAGGTGGTTCACAGAACAAAATCAAAATATAAAACCATAAAACATATAATCAAAACAAAAACAACTACCCAATAATGCCCCCTCATTATCTGAATGGGTGTTAAATACAACCCACAATCACCATAGCTTTACTCAGCTCTACATGGTATCCATTGTCTACATAACTTTGTTAAAAAAAGAAGCTCCCCAAGGAATTTACAGTCCAAAGGCAGGGAAGAAAAGGGAAGGGAGGAATGGGAGATAAAAGAATAACAAGGGATGAATATGCCAGATGTTGTTATAGGTATTTAAGGTTCATGCCAGTTGGGAATGTCAGGCAATAGGTTGACACTCTATGGGAAAGGCATGCTTTGAGGAGGTATTTAAAAGAGGAAGCAGAGATGGCAGCTCAGAGGTATCTGGAGCTACCAAGGGAGAAGGCGTGGAGAGACAGCAGGAGGCAGTAGAGTTGGAAGAATGAAGATATGGGGGGAGTAACTGAAGGTCAAAAGAGAAGGATGAGAGTAAATTCTTTGAAGAAAAGGACAAAGAATTTGTACTGGATGCAGGAAAGCTTGGGAGGTGAGAGGAGCAACTTGAGCAGAGGTCCCTGAGGGTGGAGAACTGCCCAACAGATTTTGATGAACTCCAACCCCTATTATCCCTTGCCATTAACCCTTCTGCTGGGAGTTGGAGCTCAGCAACATCTGGAGAGTACCAGGTTGGTGAAGGCTGCCATAGATAATAAAAGTTTCCCTATACAAGTGCCTGATACAAGTCCAAAAACATCTGGAGGGTCACACCCTCGGAGGAAAGCCAACCTTAGACGCAGAAGTGCTTTTAATAAGCTCTGGAATCTTATAAGGTAGAACTGGATGTGATTAAGTTTAGAGTCAGGAACTGCTCACTGCCAATGTTGATCTGCTATCTCTGTTCCTACAACAAACCGCATCCTGCATGCCAGTTCATTCCTTTCAGCTGCCCCCACAGAGCTGTCTTCCCCAACCGGTGGATGTTGCTGGACTACAGCCCCCATAATCCCTCACCACTGGCCATTCTGACTGGGTCTTCTGGGAGCCTGAGCCACAAAACAGCTGGAGAGACCCTGACCACAGACCAGAACAGGCCTAGATTCCGTTATTTAGTTCCCAGTTCCCATCATACCTGTGCAGAAAGAGAACGTGTGTCTTTGTTAGTTCTTGTGTGATGCAGCTCAGGCTGCTTTTTTTAAAGCTTTCTTATGCTGCTCTGGAAGTCATGATTTGCCTCAATCTTTTTCCTGTGGGAGAGAGAAGATGATCTAATGCTCCTTTCCCTTGGTGCAACTCCCTGAAAAAGACCCCTTTGGGGACAATTGTAGTTTCTTTAGCTAGTACTGGTGTCTCTGCACTCAGAGGGACTTGTTATCCAGCCCAGAAGCCTTTCCCATTCCAGCTGATGATTATTCTCCCACTAATTAAAAGAAATGTACAGGATTGATTAATAAAAATAAAATAAAATTAGTTTGCAAGTTCTTGCAGGTTAACTCTGTGTCCAGGGTGGCTGTCTACCAGCTCCACCTGGTATGCAGGATGAGACCCTCCCTGTCCGCGGACTGCCTCGCCAGAGTGGTGCATGCTCTTGTTATCTCCCGCTTGCACCACTGCAATGAGCTCTATGTGGGGCTACCTTTGAAGGTGACTCAGAAACTACAACTAATCCAGAATGTGATAGCTGGGAGTGGCCACCGAGACCATATAACTCTGTTCCCGTAGGTGACAGCTCCCTGGGGACCACAAAATGCCCCATAAAGGGGCTGGGCACCCACAAATTTTGGTCCCAGGGCCATGCACACTGCCTGGCACCCATGGCCCCAGGCATCCACGGTTGCAGAGCCAAGCTGGCACTCCTGACTAGTCCTAAAGGATCCACACTGGCTCCTGGTACACTTGTAAGCACAATTCAAAGTGTTGGTACTGGCCTTTAAAGCCATAAATGACCTTGGCCAGTACAACTGAAGGAGCGTCTTTGCCCCCTCATCCAGCTCTGGTCCAGAGGTCCAGCTCTGAGGGCCTTCTGGCAGTTCCCTTGCTGCAGGAAGTGAGGGACAGGGAACCAGGCAGAGGGCCTTCTTGGTAGTGGCACCTGCCCTGTGGAATGCTCTCCTACCAGATGTCAAGGAGACAAATAATTATACAGCTGTAATTCTATTACAAAAATGGGAGGAGTTGTGGAAAAGAAACCCAAAATTCATGGTGTATTATTTAATTAAAGAAAATTTCATGAAAATGCAGTTTTGATGGTATTTAACCCCTTCAAAATTGGCTAAAATAAAAGTTACAACCGCCTTCATGGATTACTGCCTTGCCATGGTGAAGGGGCTTGAATAACTCAGAGAAGCTATGAGCTATGCCGAGCAGGGCCACCCAAGATGGACAGGTCATAGTGGAGAGTTTTGACCAAACGTGATCCACCTGGAGGAGGAACCGGCAAGTCACTCCAGTATCCCTGCCAAGAAAACTCCATGGACAAAGGTAACAGGCATATAAAGCTTATGACGCTGGAAGATGAGCCCCTCAGGTCCCAAGAAGTCTAACATGCTACTGAGGAAGAGCGGAGGACAAGTACAAGTAGATTCAGAGCTGATGAAGCGGCTGGGCCAAAGCCAAAAGGTCGCTCAGTTGCGGATACGCCTGGAAGCAAAAGGAAAGTCCAATGCTGTAAAGAAAAGTATTGCATAGGAACGTGGAA